GTACCTAAGGCAGTGCAAGGAAAGGGCCAGCCCATGCTCAAAGCAGGACAAGCTCTCCCTGCAGGCAAGGGAGAGGGAAAGACGACATTGCCCCCCAACCTGGGTGCGCTGCCCCCCCAGCAGCCTCAGGGCTCAGCACACATCCTGCTCCCACAGGGAACCCATCGGTGCAAACCACCCAGCCCCGGGGTGGAGAGGGGCTGGGCAGCTCAGCCTCCAGCAGGGCCTCCCACGGGGAACAGACCTTGCTTCTGCTCCTGTGCATTGAATCTCTTTGGCTAGCAGCATTTGCCCCGGGGCCACTTCTGAGCTGGACAAGCCCTTTTACAAGCAGCACAGCCCGGAGAGCACAGGGGAAGCGCGCAGCCCTTGCCTGACCGCCCAGGCAGGCGCTCTAGCTCAGCTGGAGAGCTGCTGCTGTGCTCTGCAGCCCAAGCGCATGTGTGCAGCCAGCTGCTCCTGCCCAGTTTCACAGCATTTTGAGAGCTGCAACTGCAGCCTCTGAGCTGGTAGGGAGTGGACAGACCTGGGGTAGAGCTCTGCTGTAAACAACTCTGACACTGTGTAAACACTGCTTCTCAGGGACTGAAGTCACTGTAACTGGAACATGCCAGGGCCACAAGTGCTTTGTCTATTGCAGCCTGTTCCTAACGGGAGGTCCCAGAGACACCCAGCAAGGGGCCTGGGAACATCCAGCCACAGAGGGCTGCAGGGACTGGTCAAGTCAAGGTGCTTCTGACAGTCTCCACACGATACATGTCTTCAGAAAGGAACAAAAAGTACATGCACTGATTAAAAGGAAAAAAAAATCAGTCTAGTTCATTTACCCAGGACACTAGCTCCCCAGCAGCTGCCTGAGCAATGTGGGTGGAGAAACAGCAGAGTTCATACAAGCCTCAGGCAGGCTGATGAGAGAGGTCTGGGTATCAACACCTGATTGATTGATTGATGTTTCAGGGCAGACTTACTTGCAGACAGCAAAGCACAGAACAGTAAGCAGATCACTTACCCAATTAAGACCTAGAGACAGGAAAGTGGGGCAGGAAAAGCCAAAGCTAATTCACAGGGTGCGTAAAACCTGGGCACGTTACTTTCCAGGTAGAAGCCTCCCCTGCAAGCCCTGAATCCAGCATGAAATCCCTGCGTGCATCTCCTTTGCCACCTCTCTACCCCAGAGCCAGTGCAAGTTGCACTGGAAATGCACAGCTGAGACACTCCTCCATGACTGGAACATCAGGAAATGGCTTGACCATGACCCCACTTCTCCAGAGAGCAGATTAGTGTCCAGAAATCATAGCCAAGGCCCAGTTTTTGACGGCTATGGTTGTGTTTTGCAGATAAATCCAAGAGGAATAGGTAAAGCTTGTCAGATGTTCTCTCATGCAGTCCCACGACACTTCTCCACTGGAAAAGTGAGGAGAACAGGTTACATGCATGGAACCCACAGGCTGCGGGGAAGGGCAGACAGGCAGCAGCAGTGAACCCAGCTACAACATTATAAGCCCAGGACGGATATGCGAGCTGCTAGAGCAGGCGGCAGCAGCCTGCTGCAGGGAAACTATGTCCCAGAGGGTGCCCAGAGAACACGCATGCCAGCAGGATTTCTGAGGCACTGGTCCCGCCCAGCCTGGCTTGGCTTAACTCTCATGCAGCGTCAGTACAAGAGCAGGGAGCAACAGAGCTAGAACTGCCCCAGCTCCTCCTCCACTTCCAGCAGCTCTTAGAGCAGCGGCTGCTGCACAGCTCACCTCCCGGGGCACAGCGCAGTGCAGCGCATGTGTGCTCAGCACGGAGCCAAACTAGAGCAAGCCCAGCTACCTGAACGGCAGCAAGTTTGCACAGGGCTTCTGTTAAGAGGTGCCAATAAGATAGTTAAGAAAGCTGACAAACAGCCAGTTAGACTCCTCCTCCCATATCATCCTGTTTCACTGAATCTGGCTGTGAACCTCAAGCACTGCAGAAAGAGGTCTCAAATCACCTCTGAAACACCCTGCTTAGGAACATCTGCCCTCTTCCTTCATAGTCCATGCCACCTCCTGCCCTCTCCCAGGAGGGAGCATGGAGCCGGTCCTGCAAGGAGAACACAAGCTTACCAAAGCCACCATCCCAGCAGTAATGGGAGGGCTGAAGCACAGTTCTCAAAAGCTCACAGATCCATACGTTCTCAGTCCCCAGGAGGGGTCAGAGACGAAAGGATGAACACACGTGGCATTTTATCAGGAGAAAAGCTCAAAGTATTTATGAAGGAAGCAGGTTCTATGGCAGAGGCACCAATCTTGTGTTACCCACAATACACACTTGGTTTTCAACAGCGTACAAGCTCTCTGCAGGACCTTAGGTCAATCACTTCAGCCAGGTGGTGCCATGTTCTAACACCTCTTCTGCCAGAGCACTTGTTCAGAGGAGGGTACAAGTCAGAAACCACCCCCTTAGCCAGCACAGGGAGAGATCTCACTCCTGCAACAAGGGAACCAACCCCTCTCTGCTCCCTCCCCAATCAAGGGTCACAGCTGGGCCTCGAAGAGCATCCCAGAGGGGAGCAAAGCAGAACTGAAGTCTGCAGCATACAGGGCTCAAGAACGGCAGTGATGCTCACTTGCAGGCGTCCACACAGTGCTTCCATCCTCGCTCAAGCGCTGTGGCTACGTATTCCAGCAACGGCAGCAGGCAGCTCCTTACGAGGAAGAGCAACAGCTCTTTGACACACTCCATGAAGTGCAGCATGGAATCTGGGACCCGGGACTGCAGCTGCAGGTGGGGCAGAGAAAGGGGGTTTAGATTTAACACCAACTTCCCCTTCAATAGGGGCCCGAGGCACAGGCTTGATTTGGATACAGAATTACAGAACAGTTGAGGTTGGCAGGGACCTCTGGAGATCACCTAGTCTGACACGTGCTCAAGCAGGGTCATCTAGAGCAGGCTGCCCAGGACCACGTTCAGTCAGGTTTGGAATATCTCCAAGGATGGAGACTCCACTACCTCGCTGGGCAACCCGTTCCAATATTCAACCACCTTCACAGCGAAGAAGTGTTTTCTCGTGTTCAGGCAGGATTTTCTGTGCTTCGGTTTGTGCCTGTTGCCTCCTGCCCTGTCCCTTGGCACCACTGAGAAGAGCCTAGCCCCATCCTCTTCCCCCCTCCCATCAGGGATTTATACACAGTGATAAGATCCCCCTCAAGCCTTCTCTTCTCCAGGCCGGACAGTCCCAGCTCTCTCAGCTTCTCCTCGTATGGCAGATGCTCCAATCCTGCAATCGTCTTCGTAGCCCTTCACTGGATCTGCTGGAGCAGATCCATGTCTGTCTCGTACCAGGGAGAGCAGAGCTGGGCAAAGCACCCCAAATGCTAATACCTCCAGGTGCAATAAACCAGGGAGCAAAGCGTCCTTGCTGCCCACAAACAAAGCTCTTCGCTAAAACAAGCTTTTCCACAAGCAGCCTGGCATTACTTCCCCTTCCCTCCCTCACTGTATACTTCCCTGGCACTGCCAAGCCCTCCCCATGTTCCCTACTTCGGCCCTGCACAGCTGACCCATGAGCATGTGTCCACCCAGCCAGGCAGGCCCTGAAAAGCAGAGACAAGATACCTATGCTGCTTGCTCTTTAGGGATGCTAAAAGTCATCCTCTACCAAACCACCGATTCTCATGGAACTAATGAATTATCTTTGAGACCACTTCTCCATGAACATTTGAAACTGTCATTGTCGAGCAGTTTGAAGGTGGCTGGGGTAACCACAGCGATGGGGGAAACAGAAGCATCAGAAAACTGCTACAGAGCCTCTTTCTCACCCAGCTCCCTGACCAACGCTGGTGAGCTCAGAGCCTCTTGTAAGGACAGGAGCAGCTATAGAGATATTCTCTTCCTCCAAGTATGGGCCTCTCACCCAGCTTCTTGCTCTCCTGCCAGTAATGCTGCCATCTGATGTGAACCCTCAGAGAGCACAGGTTCTTGAAATAATCTCCTAAGCCCAACCAGGCAGTGGTCACGCAGGCATTCGTCTCTCTCCTGGCAGCTGGAGACAGCACGTTATTCTTACCCATTCAATGAACCAGGGCAGGTTGTCTTTGATCCAAGATAGCTGAGAGGAACATTTCTCAGAAATATATAGAGCCGTCTCGCTGGTCTTTGCCCAAAGCAACTTCAGATTTGGTTCCAATATGGTTACCGCTTGGGAGTAATAAACAGGTACATTCCTCTCCAACCACCTGGAACACAGCAAAGGCTGCGGGCAGTGCCAGCTACCCTAACATCAACAGCAAAGCAACAGGAGTACACATATACCTTGAAACTGCTGTCGCAGGCCAAGGGAACAGGAGAACTCAAGAGCTGAGCTGAAAAGCACTTCCAGAAACACCTGGGGAACACTTTTCAAGGAAAAAGGACTCCCTACAGAAATCACTGTGTACTGCATTAGCAACTTCTGACATGTTTAGACATTTATTTGTCTGCCTGTAACAACTGTTACTGACCTGTATCCTTCAAGGGAGTAGTGGGAGACTTTATGCCAGGCTTGCTGCGAGACAGACAGAATGCCAGAAGAACGAAGTATGCGAGCAGAAGAGGAGGCTGGAAGAGAAAAGAGCAATTCCCCAAATAAACCTTCGGCTAGATCTCTAGGCTTCAAAAGCTGCTGCATCCACAGCCAGGCCTTGGGGTTCTTCACAGCATATCAGTCCCTTAAGGCTTCTATCCAGGGGATGCACAGCCCAGTTTTCTTTGTGAGATGTCTCAGAACATGCTCAGAGTGAGGAGACAAGGTGGCACAGAAACTCCAATGCATGCAGGAAATCTGGGTTATGGCAGCCCCAGGGGAAACATTCCAGACTGCAAAAGGTAGAGTCTTGGAGGAATACTGTCCGCGCAACTTGCTGACAGCTGTTCACTCAACACAGCTTACATACTCCTCCCCAAAACACAGGCAATTCAAATACAGATCTGTAGAGGCACATTATTTAAGAGGAAGCCAGCAGCACAAAGACTCACAAGGAAGGTAAGGGTGTGGAAGGACATCTCTCAAAGTCAGTCACATATACTCAAGAAAACAGTGAAATTATTGTCCTCCAAGGACATTTTATCACATCCCCTTTCTCGCAAAGCTACAAGAACAGCAGTGAACACCTTACCCTGGAAAGACCCTTGCATCCGGATATCATGCATCAGGAAGCCAGCTGCAAAGACCAGGATCACAAGCAGCAGCCGAGACCAGGGGAAGCCACGGCCCTTCATCTTGTGCAGCAAGTTCTTAAGGAACAAAAGTAACAGATTCCGTCACATACAACAGCTTCCGCGCTGCCTCCCCAGAGGCCCAGGGAGGCTCCAGCAGCAATGGAAACCCTTTGAAACATCAAGTTGCTGTTCACAGATGGAAGGACTAATTTTAGGCTCCTCCTCTTTGCAGTTCTGTCCCTGCATTTTTCTCTTCTTCCACCTCCTGTCCCGTTCTGTATTCCCCTCTCCGCTCTTTAACCTTGAACCTAGTGCCAGGCCCCTCCATCTCCCCCCACTCTGTATAGCCACACAACTCTTCTCACAGCATGATGCCTTACTTGCGGGTGCTTTCGCCACCCCAGGCTCTGCAGTGAAAACCAGCATCATCTGCTGAGCAGCTGGAAGAATGGACAAGAGCCAGCACCATCTGTCCCAAGCGTGTCCTGCAGACCCACCCTGGAACTGCTACTGTATGGCCCTCACTTAGGAACCGAGCAACCCTAGTATGTGCCAACAAGTGGGAGCGAGACCAGCTGTAACCTCCAGCACAGAGAAGAAGTCCAGATGATGGCTGATATGAGGCACCACCCATCCCTGCCCTGGGCTTCTCCCATGCAAGAATTACCTTGCAAGCAGCATCACAGGCTGCTACATCCTGGTCGCTGTTCGGCCCTCTTGCGGCAAGTTCTTCATTAGTTACTTTGAATGAACGAACCGTTTCCTGCAGAGACTGTCGCACCTTGTGGAAATCAAGAACCTCATCACAGACAAAGCAGCACGGCACCAAGAACCTAGTACCAGCAGGACCACGTGCCCACACAACCCAGTACTGGCAGGACTTGCAGGGGCTCAACGAGGTGGCTAGTCATCGTGTGACACTGCCTTCAGATAGGCGTCCCCCCAGGCCATCCGTCAAAGATGCACTCTGCTCTCACCACACTTCTCGTTCCCACTGCTGCCTGCTCTGGACATTCACTTACACGCATCCACATGGATCAAGCAGCACACACCCAGACAAGTCAATTTTGCATGCTCTGCATCCTCCCAAGCACTGAGCTGTTGACCAGGACACAGCAAACCAGCACAGGTGCTGGCCCAGCTCACTTGCACGCCACAAGCAGCAGCCAGGCAGAACCAGTCATTCGCTCCCTCCAGCGATTGTCCCCCGTCCACCCCCTACGGCTCAGTCCAGCAGAGACCCTTGTAAAGGGAAACAGTGAAAAATCCACCCTGGGCATGTGCTGTGCTCTTTAACTACAAGTATCTTTCTTGCAAACCTCAGAGAAGCAGCATGATTTGACCTGGGCCGGTGGCACTCCACACAGGAGGGAAGGATACGGGAAAGCCAGGCAGCACTGGCCGCAGGGAACCAGACAAGAGAAGAGCATGGGATGGGGCAGAATTACCCAGGACTTTGCAGGACAGATCAGGTTGTGCAGACACTTTCAAGGCTTCCACCACTGAGATAAAGAGTGCCTCAACAGCTATAGATTAGGCTGACCCAACAAGCCAATGCTCCAGAGCAATAGCAATATTGGCATTCCTCTGCAGATGGCTGAACTAAGACCACTGTTACTGCCCCCAGTCATGACAACACCAAAGGAAGCAAGGCCTAATGGGAAACTGAATCTAGAGCACCCAAATCTCAGCACAGCACTTCTAGGGAAAAGGGCTCTCCTCTCAGCTCAATAAGCAAATAAAAGCTCCGCAAATGGCCGCTTGTGCTATCCATCCCCAGGACGGGACAAAGTGCTGCCTCTCAAACCAGTACACAGTGGTAGATGCATGTCCTGAGTCAGAGCACCCAGCTGATCTGCCTGGATGCTGGAGGAACTATGGGCTGGACACAGACAAATGCCACATGGGTGCTGCTTATAAAAGGATCTCCAGGAGCCACGCATACTTCACTTCCCTGCCCCACATAATTCCTCCTTCTCACAGTTCACTCCTACCTTCTTGCTGCCGCTGTCCCAAGACTCCAGCAGATGGTTCAGAAGCAGACTGTGGGACAAAAGAAAATAAAGGGCTCAGTCAGCATTGCCGAGGCAATTTAACACACTCCCACATACTCTGAAAAGGCGCAAGTGGCCAGCCAGGAGACCAGCCTTGGCTCAGAAACCCAGCAAAGCGGGCAGGTACTGCTTCTGCTCTAAGCACCTTTCCTTCAGTATCCCCCACTTCACCCCTATGAAAGGGGCAGCACAGAGGAGCAACGGTCTTTTCCATGTTACTGGCCCCTATCGTGGGCCAAATTCTCAATACTTAAAAAGTCTAGTTACCACTTGCCTAGTGCAGAAAGCCAGTAACCTTCCAGGGAAATCAGCCTGCAAGGAGCAGAGTAGTTTCTGAAGGCGGCCAGTGGCCACACTGGCCGTACCGTGCAGCCTGCTCTCTGCTCAGCCACCTGCTCTCAGAGCAGCGTACTGTATGAGGTGCATTCAGGTAGCACCACAGCCCAGTTCTGGGGTGCCAAAAGGAGGCGAGAAGATGATCTGACAGTTATCCTCTGCTGCCTCCGGCACACAGGCCCAGCTAGCCAGACAACAGGTAGTTTCTGATTGGAATCGCCTTGGTCTTCACCAGCTTCCCGAGATGAAATTGGGAACAGGCAGACAGAGCAGGTGCAAGCTGTGCATCCTTGCACACAAGAAACCATCATGCCCAGCAGCCATGGGCTAAACTGAGACAAGAGAAAGTGGCTGCTTACCTCTAATTAACAGGTTCGTGCTGATCCTGCTCAGGACAACGGCAAGCAGGATGCACATACCTACCTCGACTGAGAGAGGTGCTTTGTGTATAGCTGCCTCCAGACGCTGAAGCTCAAAGGGTCTACGCTCAGGCACTGGCTCATGGAGTTCAGAAGCTGGAAAGGAAAGCACACTGTGCATAGCTTTCTAGCAGATCACGCAGTTCTCTCCCTCAGGGGCTCAAGTCAATTGAGCTTGGCTCATGGGACATGACATGCCCAGGACTGTAGGCCAGCATAGTACCTGCCAGTTTGGGGTTTCCTCCCAGCCAGATCTTAGGGTACCAAACACTCACAGGTCTGACATTTCCAGACCCTGAGCCTCCACATCACCTCTGAAAACCTCCCTGCCTGGCTCAACAGGCCCCACTGCGGAGTCTTGGATCAAGACTCAGCTTGCTCCACCACCGCTAATTGCACGGGAGACATGGGCCATCCATCTCAGCCATCCAAGATGCAGCAAACTGCCCTCTGCGCTAAGCTCTCTCTAGTCCACTTCTCCCTCCCCCCGAGCATCTGTTCAGAGCTGCTGTGGCACTTGCACACCCAGCCCCACCAACGCAGCAGCTCATCCAAAGCACAAAACCCCTGGCCTGCACCCTCCCTTGTTTCTTTGTCACAAGTGTCTCAAGCCCGAAAGAAGTACATGCATCAGCCTATGTTCTTTCAACAAGGCCTTTTTCAAATCACTCTTCCCTTGGCAGCTGCAGGACAGCCAAACCCAACCCATCTTTCCTTAATGCCTCAGAGGCAAGTTAGGGTGCTCTTCCATGAGAGGGGATGAGCCGATCTAATGTTCACTGCTACCAGAACAAAAAGGTCCTACTCTCCTCCCTTACCAGGGCTTGTGCTTGCTATCTCGCACTCGTTATGGCACCTGTCCGACCCATCTGCCAGTTCAGCCTCCTAACGCAAGAGAGCTAAGCCTGCAAGAGAGATGGTGAGTCCTCTGCTGTGCCGGTGAGTTAGATAGTTCACAGTATAGCCCCTTGAAAGCCAGAGCTGATGCAGCTGAGATGATGGGACCCCCGGGGGGAACTTTCTGTCATCCTCCCCTCATGGGCATACAAGGGCAGGCACAGCCCTGAGCCAATTGCAGAGATGCTCACAGATACAGAGGGTCTCTGTAGGGCCAGCCCTGCTGTATCAGAGGGAGGCAGTCATATGCTGCCACCTGTCCCAGGGCTCACCTCTTTTTTCATGTCAGGAGGACAGCTTGGTGTAGCTCGGGAAAGGAAGGAAGGGAAGTAGGTGTGCAGCGTCGTCTCTGGTTTAGCGCCAAACGCCAGTACTTTCAGTCGAGGATACAGCTGCCGTAACTGCTCCTGCAGGCTGAGAAGACAACGCATGAAGGCTGCTGAAATTGCAGGCAGCAGTTTCATTCACGCCCTCCGCACAATTGCTTGGGAGGGGACTGGAATGCAAGGCAGAGCTCCTGAAAGGCAAAGCAGGCTGTCAAACCGCCTCAGAGCGGGCTACACTGGAACTAAGAGTCAGGACGTCTCCTCCGAGCCGAGCTGCTTCCAGACTCCTCACACCCCGATCCTCTCTACTTTCACCATAAATCATATGGGCAGATCCTACACAAATGAGGAAATCCCAGACAGTTTTACTGCAGAGCTCTCAACCAGCTCAGCATCCCAGGGAGGCAGCAGAGGAGCTGCTCCTTCAGAGGACAACATCCAACAAGAATTCCCTCTTGCAGAAGTGCCTGCTTTCCTGCTGCACTAGCTCCATGGCAAACAGAACAAGCCCTGTTTCAGCAAGATACGCCAGCTGCCACCTGACTCCGTTCCTGCCGCAGGTCCTGCCAGCAGTCTCGCTAATTTATGTCTAGTGTTATTACTACAAAGGACTGAAATTCATAACGTAATCAGAATTGAATCCTCCCTTAGTGTAGGATTTTGCATAGCTCTGCACATGTAAAAAGAAGGCCAGAAAATATCAAGAGTGTAATTTTCCTGCCTTCTACACAACCTCCCATCCTGTTTCTGCTCCTAGTTTACCAACAGTTCTAAGGACGCACAAAGCACTCGCTGAATAATTCAGGCCTAGTAAGGACACCTAATCTGAGAGCTCTCTCATGATGCAGACACAAGCCTTCCAGCCTCTCCTTTTCCAATCCCTTTGAATTTTCCTCCATCATTGCTTCTTCCTCTCTCACTCTTTTTGCTCTGCATGCTCTTGGTCTCAAAACCTGTTGGAAGCTCCTCCAGCTCCTGTTCTGATAGAGCTTCTACCCCTTCCCTGAGCTGGGGAATCCCGCTGCTGCTGGCCTGGCAGAGAAGTGCTGAGTTTTCCTCGACAGATACAGCTGCACCAGCCACAAAAGTCTTCTGCGAAAGGACACTCTCCCCTAATTATCTCAGATGCCAGCTTCAAGCAAGGGGGGCAGCTCTTCAGAGCTCTTTAGCAGGATTAGACTAAGCTGCTACAAAGACTTCCTTTTTGCTCTCACAGCGCATGCCCGAGGCACATTGACTATGAGAACCGTCCCATCAGTTTCAGCTGAGCCAAGAAGAGTCAAACAAATTAAGATACTAGTGCTCTCTCCATCCTTTACAGACCTTAAGACAACTTTCAACATAACTTAAAAAGCACTCTTGCCAGCCATGCCTGCCATGCTTGCTTTACCTCACAGCCCCTTTCTTAACTTGCATTAAACATAGGCTAAATAGGAGAGGCATGCTTCAGCATCAAGCTCGAGTGTAGCACAGGCCTACCTGGGTGACAGTGAGTTGTTGGGCATGAAGGCAAAGTCCAAGAGGGGGAAGAAGTCCTTCGGCCCAATCATACCAAAGCCTTTGGTCAGATTTGGGTGCATCCTGCAAAACAGAAACAATTCCTGTGACCTGTGGCCCGCTGTGCTCCTGGGCAGACAGTTGACAGCGCTCCTGAACAAGGGGTCTACAATGCTGAAAACAGTTTCCCTTCCAGGGCCAGCACCTGCCCTCAAAAGGCAAGACTCTCCCACAAGTCAAAAACAGTTTCAGTTTAACTGGAAATACTGCTCAGACAAAGACAGGTGGTTTCTAACTACCAAACTTATCTTCATTTGCTGCTATTTAAAGATATTTTGCATAAATATCAGCATGCACTTTAGAGGCAATACCCTTTCCCACGAAAAGCACAGCTGTGTAGGACCAACATTTCAGACTCCACACCTCTTTCAGTCTTGGTTTTCGCTGTGCTGGCAGCTGGCTGTCCTGCATTTCAGGATGTGCTTGCTGTGACAGAAGACCAAGTCCCTTGTTAGCTTTGCAAAGGGCCTGACATGAAGTATAGGGTGTGGGAGACAATACTTATACATGGCGTGGTGATGGTAACACAAATCCACAACCACAAGTGCTTAGGCCACAGCCTAGAGAATAACTCAGAGGAGGAAAGCAGCTAGCCAGATCAGATCGCAGCTACTCTGAAAGCGTTTCTGCTTCACTTTTCCAGGGGCCTGCAGTGTCAGGTAGCACCTCTGCCTTCTTGTTCATCTTTTCAGCTTTCTGCTTCCCCCATTTAACAAGCAGGACACACTTCCAGCAGGGGTTTACAGGCAGAGCGCACAGGTTCAGGCACTTCCTTTTTAGTTACAAGAGGGAAGGTGTAAATAACTGTGCATCTAATGTTAAAATCAAGTATGATGTACTTTTTTTTTTTCCCTTTCCTGTGAGACTACAGATAACTGGAAGTCTGGCAGGCCTATGACAGAGATGGCAGGTAAAATGAAACTTGGTCAGAGAGGAAAAGCCCGTTCAAGTGTTAGAAAACTAATTAAATAAAGGTTCCTGTCAAAATTAGGAGGATCTGCTAAGTTGGGTTCAATAAGCTTCCATAAAATCACCTGGCAACATTTTTGGTTCCAAAACAGGGAAAAAAGCACTCAATCTCTAGGACTTCCCAGCTTTCCAGAAGATACCCCCACATCTCCACTTCTGCAGTGTCTGCTATGTCGCCATACCTAAACTCCTCCAACAGTGCACTGCTTCTGGGTGCGCGACCTATGCTGCGCGACGCACAGCTTTCTCTGACCCTGGATGTTGGAGCTGCTGCTATAATGTTCAGCTCCTGGTCTTGCAGGCTGTAGCACCAGACACAGCAGTAAGGCTCACCTGTGCTAAGACTGACAGAACCCGCTTTCCACAACCCACAGTCAAACACTACCTTGATCTTACTTGCAAGGGGAAATACAACTACCCGAGCACAGCTGACATTCTGCCAGCACCTCACCCTGTAGCTGGAAACCTCAGTGCACCAGTTCAATCTAACAGCACCAGGCTGCGGCAATGGAAACGCCTTGCCCTTGGAGCTCTGTCTGGGCACCAGCCTTTTCTCTGGGCAGACACCACTTGATTTCCAAACCACTGGAGCAGATCTCTCCCAGACTAGTTAGGGCAAGCAAAGACATACTTGCACCCAGGGGAAGCCTGTTGCTTCAGTGCAGCATGACAGAACATACGATTGTGCCTCAGCCACTCTGGCCACACACACACAGGTTAGCAGAGCTCAGTGACCGTTAACAGCGCTCACTGCTGGCACATATTTTATATCCACACCACCGCACCAGCAGCTTGCTAAGGAATCTGAGGCTAGACCCAAGTTGTACCCAGCAGAGCAGGTCAGAGTGGCAGGGGTCCTTTTCCTGGGGACATGGCCAAGGGTAGAGCAAGCCCTTGCACCTGTAGAGAGTTGAGCTCAGTCTTCCATGGCCACTCGATATTGAGTTGCAGCATCAAAGCACTTCTGTCCTGCACTCCCAGCTACTGCAGGCGCTGAGCATGGCCGTTCTAAACTTTGAGCAGATGGACAACTCACGGCCGTTTGACGCTCTCAAGAAGGTCACAGGAGACAGCTTAGGATGGATTCTGCTCCTAATGTACTGCAAGCTCTTGGCCTCCTCATTTTAGGAAAGACATGAGCAGCAGCAGAGAGGAAACCTCTGCAGAAAACCAATGTTTCTGCAGAAACATTTGAGAGTCACCAGCAATGAAGTCAAGACATTAGACACCGTCAGTAGACACTACTGATGCTGTGTGGACACCCAACACAACAGGGAACTGAAAGATTTAAGATACAAGCTAACTTTTATTGCAAGTTTCTGCATTGCAGATCTTCCAGTGCTGAGCCCCCAAAACCTTCTGAGAGTAAGCACACCAGCTCGCTCACACTCTTCCACACATTTGCGCATGCTCACACTCAAGCTTTTTCCACAAGCAGAATGCAGACACAAAAAACATCCAGCAATCTGGGCAGGCTTTACTCTTAACCAAGATACCCCGATAACACTGAATTGTAACTCACATCAGCAGTCGGTCCAGGTAGGCAACAGCATATGGGGAGAGAGACTTGATCCCAAGCACTGGGAGCATAACACCGAGCCACACTGCAGAAGAGAGCAAGCTGTCAGACAGCACCGGGAGGATGGGGATCTTTGATAGTACCTCTACGTACTGGGTAGCCGTGAGAGCTCCTTTTAATAAACGTGAACACTCCTAGGTCCTCAAGCAGTGACTGAAATGTAGAGGAACACTCAAGTGCCAAGACTGCATTTATGTTTAAACCCAAAACAAAACCCCTACCCTATTTCTCCCCACTCAAAACATCTGGCAGGCAACCAGACAGGAAGATCCCTCAGAAATGGTTACGGCACAGCGGAGCAACCTCGGGTGCTTTCAGAGGAACAGCAGTGCCAACAAGCTCCATAACTTGGCCAGGCCAAATAGCTCTTGCTGAGATTCAGTGATGCACTACTGTCTCAGTAAGGTAAAGATGCTGTCCAGAGACTAGATACCATAATGTTAGTTTTTGTCTTTGTAGAGGGTCAGCTGGTGCTTAGCAGCAGATCTGAACTTACTCTTTCTGTAAACATACTTCTTACTACATCTCAAATAGCCATGAAAATCAGCCATTTCACACAGCTGTATGATGTCGCCATTCTAAATGTTGAGTTTTAAGCACCTGTAAATACACTTCAACACAAACCATACTCCCCCTTCTGCAACGATAACTAATGTTTAACGTGCACGACTAAGAACTGAAGGTATAAACAAGGGCAGTTATTTCGACTAGTTAATAAGAGCCACTAGTGTCATACACGTTATCTTCTATTGCTATGCCAAGAAACAAGCTTCCTAAATCCCAGCCCTCATCTCAAATGCTAGGGACATCAGTTAATTTGTTCGCAAATAAGCATCTAACAAGTTCAGTGTGCAATGGAAATGCCTTGCCCTTGGAGCTCTGTCTGGGCACCAGCCTTTTCTCTGGGCAGACACCACAAGTTCAGTGTGCCTTCACAGTCAAAGTTACATATGACAGTTCCAGAGACAACTTAATTTTGAAGTGTCACCTGAGAGTTGTCTGTACCCATCTCCCCTAGGATCTCTGCCACGCACTGCATCTCCATCTGGCTCGAGTACTTTCAACAGTAGGATGACATGCTTTTAGGCAGATTAAACACCCAAACAAAAAACACCACATGAAGTCATGGTGCACACAAGTGTGACTGGGACCTGCCCTTGCTACCTCGAACACTTGTTGTTTTCAAGCAAAGGGAAGCAAATGGGAAACAGCTTCTTCTGAGCACAACTCCCATCTATCACCTCTGAAGCTCTCACCTTTCAAGCCTTCAGTGAGGTCCGTGAATCCAGCTTGTCCCAGAGCCCACAGGATGGTAAGGCATTTCGTTGGCCTGTTCTGGTGGGACCGTAACACCTCCAAGTACTGAGATGAAAAAAAGTTAATTCAAAAGAACTTCAGTCCGCTTCATCCCATTGTTTCAACCAACAAGAGACCCTGTGTTGTGCATCACCTCTACAGCAGCTCAAGGGGCCACCACCACAGGACTAAAGTGGCTCTACAAAGCTTTCAGCTTCAGCCAGGCCTTGCAGGGTGCAGCCTCCCAGAGCCCAGGGAGCCTCATGCTCTGTCACTACTAAGGAAGGACAGCTTAGCAATCAGGAGAGCCCCCACGACGACGACCAAAAGTTGCGTTAGCCCAAGGCATGCTGGATTGAAAACTGCAACAGTCTGGAAAAACAGAGTTTCTGACACGAAGTGGTGGAGGATAACAGTCAAGTTGCATTAAACACATGCTCAGCTGCTTACTTCAGCTGCACCAAAAATTTTAATTCTTGTCCCATCACTGCCTAGCAGCTGCACGCAGAGCTAACCAGCAGACCTCCCTCCCTGCTCCCTGAGAATGGCTAGTGCATGAGTGCATGTGACGAGGAGAGGGAGCACAAGCTTTGAACACGATCTTCAAAGGGCAGACACAGTAGGACGACAGCATTTACAACATATCTGGGGAGGAAAGGAGATGCTGATCCCTTTTGTATGGGCTACAAGCACATTAAAAGCATGAAATGTTTGTATGTAGGACAAGCTCCTAAAAAAGTTTTAATTAACTGAAACTGATTGTTCATGGCCTGGCTATGAGACATGCGTGGCCATTCCGAATGCTCAGCAGGATCTTCAGGGAGGAAAGAGGAGGAACACTGCTGGTTTTACCACAAATCCATTCAGCTCACCTTGCCCAAGTTCATCGTTGCAATTTTAGGCCGGTCCAGCAGCACTGCCTGAATGCAGATCCTGTAACCGTGCAAAGACTCCCCTAAAACACAGCACAAAAGGGATGTTCTCAAGCCCCAGCAATTCATGGACATATTTTCAAGCACACCCCTTCCTTTTGCAATACTCCCAAAAGGTAAGGAAGGGTATTTAAAGCTTTCCTAATGACCCCCTTCACCTGCAAATCCTGCTCGCTGCTCACTAGCTAGCAAGCTTCAGACCTGAGTGTCACCAGAGAGGTCTGGGTTCTGCTCCCTCCATTTTCCTCCTTGTTCCTGCTCTCCACTCTCCCTCCAACCAGCCTCCTACCCAGGACGTCACCCCTGCAGGGCTCCCACCCCACAGTCCCTTGGAAATACCACCAATAGCTTCCCAAAGAAAAATCCCCTGGCCCAGCTCCACCCTCCAAAGAGGCTGTTAGTCAATAGGTAAGCATGGTCACAGCCACAAGTCTAGGAACTTTCTAGGGCTAACCTCACCCTTGTTTACATTCAAAAGAACAAGGGTTAAGAGGACAGCAGTGGTTCCCAGACCCTGTTCAACAAGCCCCTCCTGCTCCGCTATGCCCAGGGGATGGCTGGGCAGCACAGCTCAGCCTCAGAAGGGGCTCGCTGCCACCTGCAGGGTCAGTCCTGCTCTCCAGTGCACAGACCTGCTGCTTACGTTACCTGCTCTGGAACAGGTCCAACTTTTATGCCGGATTAGCCAGCAGAATCAGCCTACCGTGCAGACAGGCACGAGAGCCAATGCCAGGGGAGCAGAAGCGTGTGGCTGGAGGGCAAGGCTGCAGCAGCGGTGATACGTTAGATTAGCATGGAGCATGGCCACAGCCTTAACTGAACCCTAAGGTCCTGTGCTTCACAGACTGAAGCCTGGAGCAACCTCAGATGAAAGTAAAGGATCTTTTGGAATGAAACATGAATGCAAGTCTCAGAGCAAAGCAGTACTGTGACTGTTTGCTAAAACATTATTTTGTACTATTCCTATCCTTCAGGTTTCATCAGTCAGTTCTTTTTTTGTGATAGAAGCAAATTGCACCCAGGGCCACAGATCTGCAATACACAGAGCCCCACAACAAGGGTCCAAAGAGTTTCTACTCCCTTTCTAGCAGCTGGTCTGGTCCGGCTCTGCACTATAACACATCTCCTCACAACTGCACTTACAACTGTTCAGGGGGCCACGCTGTAAACTGAATTAGGAATCTGACCCAGACGGAAAAACGCTTTTGCCACCCACAAGCAGTTGGGTTAGCACAACAGAAGGCAGGATTCAGCAGCCAGATGGAGGCACTCCCGAAACAAGCATTGCGCCAAACACTTTATATCATGGAAACATGGCTCTAGGAGTCGTCAGCAGAGCTGGATTTTAGAAACCAAGTCAGGAACCATCAAGGCGTTTAGCACATCAGGCAGCATAGCGACAGTTCAGGGCTATGAGGACAGGTGGCAGCCAGATGCTACTGTTAAAGCAATCAGCAACTAACTGCTCAACAGTAGTGGCACTGAACATAACATTTAGGTTTTGTATTTAATACTACTGAAAGAAACAGGCCACCACTCTCATTTAGGATGCTGCTTCTGGCTGCCTGAAGAGTCAGGCAACATGGTCAGGTGTTCGCATGTTCCATTCGCAAAGAGGGCAAGAAACATTCTCCTCCCTCCTAGCATGAAAGCTCAGATTGGGACTCCTCACTTCTCAGGAAATGCAGCTACTACAGCACAGCAACGAATTAGCATTTATAAAGCTTCATAGGGCCAAAAGATCCAATTTTGAAAGCTGTAGCAAAACATGCCACAAAGTGAAAGCCTTCAGAAAGGCATTTTCTACCACATGGTCTTCACTCCGCAATTCTCTCCCTGACAGAGCCATAGGGGGCTCATAGCTCACACCCAGCCATGGCCTACTCTGGTTCTTTCAGGCCTGAGCAGTCGGTCTGAAGCCCAGCAGTCTGAGAAGCAGTGTTTTTCATCATATTGATAAGCCTCTTGGGCAGGAACAACGCCTGCACGGAACACAAGATGCACAGAACAAGGTCCTCATCTCACATTCTACACAGCAGAATTCAGAAGAGCTTTTAAAAACCTTGCCAACAAACTGCAAGTAGTAAAAAAATTCTTATAGCCACAAAAATCTTCCTCAATACCGGACTGCCACATAAAATAACCTCTTGTGCTAGCAGGATTTAATATGCATGCTGTAATGCCCTTAAACTTAGGTTGGCTGTGCTCTTACCTGGAGTTTTGTCCAACTCCTGTAGCATTGTATAAATACAGTGATCGAAGAAGAGCTCCAGCACGCTGGAAGATCTTCCCAGCAGGGATTTGATGATATTCTTCAGCTCTTTGTTCACAAGACAGTAAGGATAATCTGAAGCCAATACAATCGTATGAAGGAATTTAATGAGCACCAATTAATGAAACTATCAGTTGCAGCTACAATGAAAAGTTTGCCTAGCAGGTGTGATACGATCCACAGAGAAGCACATAGTTTCCCATACACCGCATGATCAACAAGCAACTTTTCTCAGTTCTCTCGCATTAGGTGTGTTTAATTTGGCAATAAATGATTGCTTTTTGTTAAATGTTAATACCACTGGATGTACGCAGGATTTGAAAAAATTGTTATGCTGTATTACCCATTGTCAGCTCAGTAACAAGCGCTCTCAAGAGGATCAACAGACAACGCATAAAAGGAAGATCCAGCAAGAGTATCTCTTTTAAAGATGAACGTGGATACTTGCGAACAGCTTCCTGAATTTCAAAATACAAGTTACAGGTTCTCATGGAGAAGGCATGACTATGGAAAGGCTCTAACTTGCCAACTCTATATGCTGCAAGACAATTTCATTGGTCTTTGGAAACAAAGAAAACTCAAATTACAGTGACATCGCTAAATAAGTAAATGTTATTGTTAAGTAAGTTTGTAAAGTAAAGAACACAGTCAGTGCACCTTTTCTATTCTCAAGTTACCTAAACACCTATTAAAGATGGCTTGGGCAGGAAAAAAAAAAGTTTATTAAAAAAGCAAAGAAAACTCCAAACATCTCAGTTTGCAGGGAACACGCACAGACTGTGGAACAGGCTGGACTTGATTTCTCTCTGATGCAGACAGACTTCTCCTCTCGCATTCCAGCTACTGTTTTGGTCCCGTCCACTCTGATGCTTCTGAAAACTGTCCCTTAAGCAAGCTGTCCTTTAACCTTTACTCCTGAAAAACCTGCACAAGGTAAATCTCACAACGAGTGAGCTGAAATGATTAACGCAGCAGTTAACTCCTTCAACTCTTCCTTCAAGGACCAACATCAGCTTGGGAGGGACAAAAGAACTAGAGCGGGAATGGGGCTGCTTCTCCTCCAGGTGCCATGTCCTGAGCCACCTTCCCGCTCCTCCTGAGCGTGGCCCTGCAGGTTAGCTTGCTTTTAAGCACCAGACTGAGCTGTCTCTTCTGCACAGAAGTGGTGGCTCTGTATGCACCACAACTTCTATCGCTCCTACTGCAGGCATGAGAGCACTCATCTGATGCTAAGTTACAGGCACGCTTTTGCCAGAAGAGATATAGTTCACACAACTTTTCGAAGTACAAGGCCACCTCAAAACTGGCAGAAGTGTCTGTGCACTACTGCTTAGCACAAGATGCCTAAAACAGAGCTGCAGCTCTTCTGCTCTTTCTCAAAGCTTTCTGTCACCCTCACATGCTGCCTGGCAGAATGGTATGCTTTTCACTGAGTCAGTGATAGCAGGAAGATAAGGTCCCTGGAGAGCCCAAGCCCTTCTCCCCCACGCTGCATTAGCTTCCTGGAATTTATTATAGCACAACACACAAGCTGAGCACAATAATTCTCATGAGAGTTTGCCATGTTCCACCACACACACACTTTCTACCTGGACTGCTTAGGTGTTACAAGCCTGACAGCACAGCATGTTAAACATCACTGACCATGAGCGTGCTGACTGAGCATGGGATCGCTCTTAGGGGCCTGCAGTTTATAGTTGAGATAGCCAGCCAGGTCTTTAACCCAGACAGATGGGTTCTCGGGAAACATGTTCTGGCTTTTATCCAGCTCCTTCTGAAGATCTGCCAGATCAAGCTGTAAAAGATATACATACGTTACATTACACAAATTCAACCCAAGGTGCACAAAATTGATCACAAAAATCACGGGGAAAAAAACAGTGAGCTTTAGCTCATAAGGAACTACCAGGTAAAGAGACAGACATCCCAAACTTTCATCTCAAGAACCTTGCCCTTCCCATACAGAAAACACCAGCTCCCTAGTGCTGCACCTTTCAGCACCCCCCCTCTAATCCACCACATTATTAATACAAACAGTAGCAGGCGTGCTGAAACAGTATTTAATTCCCTACTTGAAACTGTTACATTTCCTCCAGATTAATACAGGCTACTACTGAGGAATAAGGAAAAAAGGGATGTAGAAAGTTGAATTTACCCAGGACCAAGAGAAGGCTGCAGAAAGCCTCAAAAATACTAGAAAAAAAATAAAAGGAAGTTCCATCTTGCAATTGCACAGACAGCAAAAATATACTCTTCTCGTTCCTCGGATCTGCTCCCCAGATGCATCAAAGCCAGATCAAGCAATTTTCATTGCTTTACACTCCACTTTCCTGCTGGCATTGCCAAACCAACTGGAGGAGTTGTGCAGACTCTGCTACTCTTCATTTCTACGTGCCTTGCATTGAACCTCACTTACAGATCAACCGGTTCAATGCAAAGCTACACAAGTGGCGTCACCGAAGGCACGCTCTAGACGGGAGACAGCACAAGGCTGTAGTCTAGCGCTGACCTGCCCACCATTACAGCCAGCTGTACACCCAGTTCGCGTCAGCGCTTTGGGGCAACGTTGCACCCAGGGTCCTAAAAGGAGAAAATAGCCAATAGCAGCAAGAGCCACTTAATTAACAACCTATGATCAGCAAACTATGCATGCGTACAGCACGTTCACATCCTGCCACCTTCCCTGTTCTGTATTACCAGTCCTGAAATATGCTTATCATATGAACTTAATTTTAAAGTCAAATTACCCACAAGCTTGCAGGGCCAGATACCACATCTTAACTTCAAGGAGTTGACAAGATACAATAAGACTTAAATGGCTTTTCAAAGTTTTGCACAGTTGTTTTTTGCAAGCGGTACATTACAGTCCTAGCATATTATTACATTTGAGTTGGGTATCCTTCTCCTACCTATTTAAGCAAACATTTTGAAAACAGGAAGAAAAAAGTAAATAGCTGCTACCACGTCAAAAAAAAAAAACTATCTGTGAAGCTGACATAGCAAAAGTCACACAATAGCATTCGTCACTGATGAGCTGAGCAAAGCAAAGCCATAGGGCAGTAATGCTTTCCAGCTCCAGGCCGCTCTCACTGAAGAATGTTTTCCACGACACATACAAAAATTACATACGTTCATTTTACACTGATTTGCTTCTATATAATAATAGCTGTATGTGCCTGATTGTTTGTGTCAACACAATTAAAGCTGGTATGAGAGCAAACATCACTAAGAGCACAAACGGAATAGGAAACTCCTTACCCTTTTAGCAGGGAAGGAGATCAGAGACACGTCAGAACAGAAGTCACGAGCAAGAAGCAAGCGCTTGGGTTAAAGCAAAGGAATTGAACGGCACAGCTGGACAGACAGCTGCTGCAGGGGATCCTTGCTAGGCAGTGGCTTTCCCTGGGAGGCACATTAACTTAAGGGAGTTAACTTGGGCTTTGTTTTTAAAGCCAATCTGCGCTCAGACACCATGAAAACAGACAAATGAGTTCTATAGATTCATTTAAAATGTGGAGAATATGAGCTGCAGAAATTTCTTCCAGAGGAACTCAGCAAATAAGACAGGGAGAACATTTGCACCAGTGATGCTTTCTCAGGATTCCTCCCAGACAGTAGACAGAGAGGAGATGAAGAAAGAAACCAGAAAATTCCCTCCCAGCCATCTACTGCTGTGTTGCTTCCTGTCTAAAGTAAAAGCATACCCTAAAGCATAAGATAGAAAGATCTCTCAGATTAGCCATGTACGGTTCGCCAAATACTAAGTACCATCTGTTCCGCTCCTGCAGCGAATAAGACCACTTTGGGTTTTAATCAGCTAGAGCGAAGAAGTATTTTTCCCAGCGGGAAGGCTGGGCACACTTTAATCAACCCAGTGAGCTCCCAGACACAGAGAGGCTAGGGTGTGGGAGTTTCCTTTCTCCTCCCGAGGCATGAGAAACTTTTGTAGTAAGACGGAGAAGAAACAGGGCACTGTGCCCTTTGTACCACTCCTTTCAACTGGAATTAATAACGATGTTCTGGGACTCTTATTCACGAAGCAGCAAAGAATACAGGTTTCCAAAACGCCAGCCTAGCTGAAGGCTATGAAATAAAAGCATTTGAAACTTCAACTCTGCCATGTTAACACAGGTCAGGAGCGATCCGGGCACCCTCGAACCCATGCCGCTGTAAGAACAGGATCGGTTAGAGACGAGCAGCCGGCAGACAGGGGCGTGCAGTGTGCCCGTGCAGGCTGGGCACGCTCACCGCTTTCAGCGCTTCCTCCAGCGTTCGGAATTTGCCTTGCTTGAGCCCGGCATCGCTCGCCGACGACTTCTTTGCGCTCTTCCCCGTGTTATGCCTCCTGTGCTGCTGCTCAGGGGCAGAAGCAGGAGGGACCTGCTCTTTGTTCTGCTTCTTCATCGTTTTCTCAAACCCCAACTCAAAGATAGTGTCTGAGGTAGCAAAAGGAGCTAAAAAAAAAAAAAAAAACAAGTGAAAACAGAAGAAAGTGACCCAGAGCCTCTACAGTCAGTATTTCAACTTGCACCAAACAACAGCACGCTAAGAAAATACTCGTGCATAAGGAAACTCAACAATAAGCACGGAACACAATCCCTGCCAAACTTGTGCAAGGGGCAGCTGCACGAACGAGTTGCAACATCGCATTCAACTTTCGGGAAAGTTACCAAACGTAACGCGAAAACCAATTTCAAGCTCCACCGCTACAAGAAGTCGCTCTGACTGAAACCGTCCCTGATCAGGCCCCGTCGCAGAGATGTCACGAGAGAGCCAAG